ACCTTGCACGAGGTCAAGTCCTGGCTTGGGAAGTGTTTCGCTATGAAGGACCTCGGAGAAGCTGCCTATATCCTAGGGGTAAGGATATTGAGAAACAGAAGTAAAAGACTAATAGGACTTAGTCAAAGTACCTACTTGGACAAGGTGTTGGAATGTTTCAGCATGGAGAACTCCAAGAAAGGTGAATTACCTATCCAAAGCAATACCAAACTGAGTGAGACTCAGAGTCCGAGTATAGAGGATGAAACAGCAGAAATGAGTCATATACCATATGCTTCCGTGGTTGGTTCGATCAAGTATGTTATGACTTGTACTCGCCCTGATGTGGCCTTTGCTTTGAGCATTGTCAACAGATATCAAGGGAACCCCGGTAAAGCTCATTGGACTGCGGTTAAGAACATTCTTAAGTACCTGCGGAGGACTAAGGACTAGGTCCTTACTCTCGGTGGGAGTGATGACTTCAGAGTAACAGGGTATAGCGATGCGAGCTTTCAAACCGACAGAGATAATTTCCGCTCTCAGTCGAGCTGGATATTTACCCTGAATGGAGGAGCAGTGACATGGAAAAGTTCCAAGGAGGAGACTGTAGCTGATTCAACGTGAGAATCATAGTACATAGCAGCAAGCGAAGCATCGAAGGAGGCGATATGGTTGAAAAACTTCATCGGAGACCTTGGATTCATTCCATCCATAAAGGAGCCTATGGAGATTTTCTGCGATAATGAAGGGGAGGTTGCCTTAACCAAGGAACCGAGAGATCATGGAAGATCCAGGCATATCAACAGAAAATACCACTTTATAAGACATCAGGTAGAAGAAAGACACCTCGTGGTGAAGAGGATATCGTCAGAGGACAACCCAGCAGATCCCCTTACAAAGGGACTGACCAGGGTTAAGCACTTGCAGCATGCAAGGGGCGTTGGGCTAACGGGCTATATTAGTTTTAGTGGTTAGATAAACCGAAACTTGTAATAGCTAAATTGTAATTGACATTTAATGATTGAATAAAAGGAGTTTTATTTATAAGTAAAGTTACTGTCTTGTGTCAATTGTTTACTATTGTTTCACTTTGCATGTTTTGACTTCCAAAATAATAAGATTTATTCAAACTATCCACAGTCGATCATACGTTGGAAGTAAGTATGAAAGAAGACTGTCATGAGTTAGCTTGTAGATTGTCTAAGGTGTTAGGCATAGCAACAGTTTGCTACACCATTCATTAGTACTTCTGAAATAAGATTTGAGTATTGGATCAACCTGCGCTCACTTGAATCACTTCATGGAATTTATCACGAGTGATCGTGAGACAATAACTTGATGTTATTAAACGTATCGTTGTGCATGATTTAATGAATAGTTAGTACAAGCATCTAATGTCAAAGTTTATCTGTTTCTTTTATCCTAAGAGGATTAAAAGCGATATCTTGGGCCCCTTGATGATTCTGTTTTGACTTATGTGTCGGGCCCGGTCAGAACTAAATTGATGTGTTCAGTTATGTTCTATGTCAGACGAATCAGAAATCGGGAAACAAACTGCTGGACAATAAGTATGACATTGTTCCATGTATTTGTCCAGCTGATATCTTGAGAACAGAGGATTATATGATCACTTACCTAAAGGATGCGTCACTGACTAGGTCAGAGTTGACAGCGACTTTTGAAAGCTTACGATTGCTAAGTCGGATCCTGAAGTTACATTGGCAACTATAGTTATTAGACTTATCCAAGTGGGAGACTGTTGGATTTGTTTGTCTAAGCCCATAACTATAACCGGGATGTACTTTACCCGATAGTAGCATGGTCCTTTTGGGTTGCCTTCACCAGTGCAATTTGATAGGATGGACTTTTGAGAATAAGGTTATTTATGATTTATTAATATATTACAAGTATAATATATTAATATATGGAATCATATTATTTAATTAGTATTGATCAAGAATTAATTTGGAATTAATTTTGTGGTCAAAAGAGACTAATTAAATATATGGGGATTAATTATGTAAATCAATGATTCTTGTAGTGTGGGCTAATGATCCATGATTATTTAGATGGGCTAAACCAATAAGTTAATCCATGGATAGTCCATGGAGGTTAAACCCATGGAGCATAAGAATGTGGAAAGTCATGGAGCATTAGGGTTCACAAAGTGTAACCCTAGCATTTGCCACACTATAAATAGAACCATCATGAGCCAAAATCGGTTACACCATCCTTTTGAGATAAGTAACTTATTCTCTTAAGCCTCCTCTTGCATATTGGTGATTGTGAAGCATTAGAGGCATCACACTTGAGGTGCGCAAGCTTTCAAAGGTCAAGAACTCTACCCTACTCAAGAGGTAAGCATCCAAACTAAGTTTTTATTATATAGCTTCAATTGTATGCTAGCTAGGGCGAATGCTTTGGAAAAACAAAATGCATGTATAATTAGAGAAAACATAGATCCAAAGCATTTAGGGTTGCATGTGCACCATTGGAGTGTTATAGTGCTCAAAACCCAACACTTATAACACTCCAAAAATCACAAAAACTTAAAATTTTTAGAATCAACCATTAACCATCATTATTTACTAAAGAGCCATTGTTTCAAAAGTAAAGTCATATCAGAGTGTCCTAAAAATCCATATCATAAAAAATAGGAAGATGTGCACGACCAGACCTTCGCTTTCCCACGATTCTCAGAAGTACCTGAAACAATAAACTAAAACGGTAAGCCAAAGCTTAGTGAGTTCCCCCAAAGTACCAACACACTACAAATAAACAAAGCATGCAAATATGATCCTTCAACCTGAATGGACCGCCTCGTAGGGCCTATAACCTATCTGGACCGCTCTACGGGCCTTCGGCCTGAATGAACCCCCTCGCAGGGCCTACAGCCTATTCGGACCGCCACGGGTGTCTTGGCCTTCAGCACAAAGCAAGGCCGCCTCAACCTAACCACAATATGTCGACATATGAACAGATAACATAAACACATAACCAACAAACACAAATAATCATGTAAATCTACTAATCAACCATATACTAGCATAGCCCTATCCTAACCAAGTTAAATAATCTAGTGGGTCGACATTGGTGCCTTTGACCTATAAGTACAGTGAGGAAAACTCACCTCTCAGTCTGGAAAGATATTTGATAGAACACAGCTCCAAATGACAACTCAACAGGTCACCTAAACACCTAATAATGATCGATCTCAAATAGCACTCGAATTGGATGAAAAGTGGGCAAAAATAGATACCGACCCGAACCCGAATAATCTGGGATGTGCTTCGGGCCAGAACCGACCCGAACCCGAATAATCTGAAACCCGAATTGGATGAAAAGTGGGAACTGAAACCTGGACCGATTATACTAATACGGGACCGGTTCGGTTCGGGAAATACGGGTTCCGGTTCGGTTATTAACCCGAAAGGACCGAAATAACCCAAATAAACGTTTACATTATGTTTTCGAACCGAATAACCCAAATAAACCGAAATGACCCGAATAACCCAAATAAACCGAAATGGCCCAAATAACCCAAATAAGGAAATCTATATCTAGTTCAAGAAAAAAAATATTAATTTAATATTTTTTTTCTTGAACTAAATATAGAATTTCCTTATTTGGATTATTCGGGCCATTTCGGTTTATTTGGGTTATTCGGGTCATTTTAGTTTATTTGGGTTATTCGGGTCATTTTAGTTTATTTGGGTTATTCGGTTCAAGTGACTATTCACTTTCCGGGTCGGTCTTTTTGGCCCGATTAAACCTTTATTCGGGCAACCCGAACCGAATAAACCGAAACCCGAATTGGGCAAAAATAGATACCCGATAACCGACCCAAATAACTTATTCGGTCCTAATTCGGGTCGGTTCGGTCCGGGTTTCGGTTTCGGTTCGGGTATTCGGTCCAAAAGCACATCCCTACTTAGATGTATGCATAGCTTCATCAAGTTCAAAGATTTTTACCTTTAACTGATGCCAAATGGTGATGAGATTTTGGATTCAAAGAGTCCTACTCCTCCATGATGATCTTCTCTTCTTCCTCTCTACTTCAAGGTGACCAAAACATACACAAAGCTCAATAATGCTCAAAAGTGGATTAAGGTTTGTTTGGGGACGAATGCAAGTTGGAGGCTGATGAATGAAGGTAAGTTGGGGACTTAAGGATGTTTACATAGGGTCTAAACCCTAACAATTAGGGTTTGAAAATCAGGCATGTACGCCCTGGGTACACTAGGTACGTCCAGTGTACGTGACCTCGGACTAATAATTACAAAAATGCCACTATGGGTCATTTTGCAACATTTCTCATACATAAGGGCTAAATACAATAAATCTTCATACTTAGGGTTTAATTTGGAAATACCTCATAAACGGGATGTTACACAAAGCAGTCGGATATGGAGGCGAAGACGGTGGCAGTGACAACGTTACAGACCGAACAGATGCATAAATGATCGGAGCTAGAGGAGAAACGGGTGAAAGAGTTTTTACGTCAATCAAGCAGATGGAGGGCTTCATTGTCGGTAGCGATGTCGAAGATGACATCTCTGGTGGTGTCCGGAGGGGAGGGCAGAGGGTTGCAATCGGAGTTGCATTTGGAGGGAGCAAGAAGAGTGACGTTTGAGAAGAAGAAATAGCAGAGGGAACGAGATGAAGTATTTGGGCCAAAAGGGAACACAGGTCATTTGATTTCTTCAGATATGTCTTTACATCTAAAAGTTTAAGATGCATCTTTTAAATTAAGAGCCATAAATTCATATGCAACCAAACAGTCTAAATCTTTAAAATTAAGAGTTTGCCTCTTAATTTTTCAACTAAGAGGCTACGACTAAGGCTACCAAATATGACTTTAGTTGTAGCCTCTTACCGTAAGTAGGAATAAAAATGTATTTTATTCTTTTTGTTATTTTTAAATAAATTATATTAAAATCAATGCTTCTCATATTTATACAAGTTATTCCATTACTAAGATATATATTATTGTAATAAATATTATTTAAAGTCAACAAATATTATCCATCGTTGTTCATCCAAAAGGTCATGGTTTTGAACTTCACCTCCCCAGTATCCACCACATTTGGTACACCATCTTGGTGTCTTTTAATATTGAAAATACACTATTATGTTGAAAAATGTCAAAATATACTATTAGATTGAACGATATCTCTAACATCTTCTCACTATAACATCAGCGTCAGCGTCATATCTGTTCAAACAAATTTCTCATATGGTCAACCGGTGCAAGATGTACAAGTACCAAATCAAAATTATACAACCCATATAATGCATTGAGATGAAGAATGCGTGAAGGATCTTCAGGATACTCTTACCGTGATGCAATCTTGAAGTGGTGTTCCCTTATCACATGAAAAACCATCCTTCTCGGCTCTCGCATACACGAACTTTTATCCTCCTATCTTTTTAAGGAAAACCCCCAAATCAGGGGTGTGTCTAGTATGGCCCAAGGTAGGTCCTAGGACCTACCTAAATGTTCAATTTCATTTACAATATATATTGTAGAAAAATTAGGAACTACCTTAAAAAAAATAAGGGACCTACCTTAATTTTGTTTTTTAAAAAAATGTCTTAAAAAATCATTTTAAATGAAGGAAAAAAATAAGTTATTAGGATCAATTTGTTATTTTAAATTATGAGATTGATAACAAAAAATTAATCACTCTTAATCGGCACTCTCAAAATTTCAATAAATAAATAAATTGCTGTAATAAAAAAAGCCCGCATGCTAAAGACTTTTACTCTCTGTTCACTGCTTTATCAATGGACTAATAATCAACTAGTTTTTCATTAAAAAACATACTACTTTTTTCATTTATATTTCAATCGTTTTGTTAAAATTTTTAATCGGTGGTGTCTGATCGGTTTTAACAAGTTGAACTGATTCGTTCAGTTTTTTAAAGTATACGACCCGATCCGACCCCAGACAAGTGTTGTTGAATTTTTTTTATTGGCTTCACTTAATTTGGGAACCATGTGATTTTTTGGTCTAGATTCACCACTGTCCCAAATAAACAAGGGCGATTGTACTCTATCATAAAGGGGGTGTCTACCTCTATAGACACCCTTTAGTAAGGAAATTTTTATAGAATATTTTTAGATAACTTTTAGATGGACACTGTTTGTACGTGAACAATGGACACACCTTACAGGCTTACACCATGTAGAAGAAAACTAATTCGAATTTTTAAAATTTTAAAGATCAGAGTTGGAACCTGATTTCACAAGGTTTTTGACAAAAATAAGAAAGAATTCTGAACTCTGAAAGGACCTAAAACGTAAATGTGTAGTGGGTTTGGATTACTTGATGAGTTTATTGGGCCATGTCTTTGGATATTTAAGTGGGTTAACGTAAGATATTATGATAACCATTTAGTTAATATAATAAATTATTTAAATCTTTTTTTATTCTAATGAGTTTGCCAGTTTGGCATTATTTGACTTACATGATTATTTTTATTTATTATTAATTTCTTATTTATTGAATTTATTGTTATAAAAACTTACTTTTGTTCGTGGAAATTTTTTTTTTAGAACGGCAGCAACCAATTAAATTAAAAGAAAACTAGCAAGACGCTAGAAATACAGACCATTAAGACTGGGTAGGATTTTGAAGCCACAAACTCCAATTAATCCTAGTCTTAGAGTTACGGGACGAAAACCACCGAAACGAAATATCAACAATGGAATAAAAAATCCTATCATTTCTAGGCTTATTACTACTAAACAAAATACCGTTACGGAACGTCCAAAGCACCCAAATAACCACAGAAAAAATCGAGTCAACAATCGCCCGTTGTTGCCTAACATTCGGCCTCGCATCGATCTAGTCCATCATGTCTCTCATAGAGAAAAAATAGGGATATCCAAATCAAGCCAAAGACTAACCCGCCTCCAAATCTGATTAGCAATGGTGCACTGAATAAACAAGTGCAACACGTCTTCAGTAGCATCGTGACACAAAGGGCACAAAACCGAATCAAGATCCACCCCTCTCTCCACCAACTTCGACCTCACAGGAAGTCTATCCATCATTAAACGCCAAATAAAAACATTTATTTTAATAGGAAATGAACAATTCCATCTAGTAGGCATGGAACCCGACGGAAGTCTCGAATCATTGATCCAATTCCTAGTCGATTTAACCGAAAAGCACCCTGAATTATCAAGATTCCAAACCCATTTGTCTAACTCCACGCCAAGATGATAGTCATCCAACAAAGACATCAAAGACGTAAGCTGCTCCTGTTCAACCCCTCCTCTAATATCACGGCGCCAAGCAAAAACCCAACCCGTTGGAGACCAATAATCACTAACTAAAGAGTTTTGATTAGAAGCAAGCGCAAACAATCTCCCGAATTGCACCATCATAGGAACATCCAAGCACCAAACATCGTGCCAAAACCGAATAATAGCTCCATTCCCAGTCACTCTAGCCATGGCATTCGAAGGCAGTAAACCAATCTCGTGAAGATGGTTAATAGACCCAACTATTTTTTGCCAAACACCACCACCACTTTGTATTCTCGAGCCCCCAGAAAAACCTCCCCCTTCACCATAAAAAAACTTTAGAACTTTCACCCATAAGGCGTCAGGCTCATTAAAGAATCTCCATTTCCATTTATATAAAAGACCCAGGTTAAAAGCATCTAAACTACCAATACCCAAACCACCCTGGGCAAAAGAGTTTAACGCCAAATTCCACTTAACCCAATGAATATGTTTTTGACCCTCTTCCATACCCCAAAAAAACCGAGCCCTCATATTCTCCAAAGCCTGCAAGACAGCAACATGAGGCCTAAAAATAGATAAGTAATAAATACCAAGGCTACCCAGAACTGACTTAACAAGATTTAAACGACCTCCAATAGACAACAATCTAGCTTTCCAAGATCCCAATCTTTTTTTGAAGCGATCTATAATTATTTGCCATCCTTTAACACGCACCATAGATTCGCCAACCGGAACACCGAGATACACAAAAGGAAAGGAACCAGCCGAGCAGCCTGTAAAAGAAGCGAGGTTGGAGATTTCAGACCTACTAACCTCCACGCCATAAAGACTAGACTTAGAAAGATTGAGATTTAGACCCGAGACTAAATAAAAACATCTCAACACCCGAATCAAATTTCGGACATTATTCTCATTCCATTCTCCAAGAAATATAACATCATCTGCATAAATCAAATGAGAGATGGCTAAATCATGTGACTCAAGTTGGGCCCCCCTAAACACACCTTACGACACCGCATCCTCCATAGCAATATGAAGACCCTCCATAGCAATAATGAAGAGAAAAGGCGACAATGGGTCACCTTGTCTCAACCCTCTAAACAACTGAAACTCATCCGTAGGGCAACCATTCAAAAGCACTGAGGAACGAGCATTAGAAAACATCCCCCTAATCCAAGCCCTCCATTTTCCCCAAAACCAAGAAACAGCATAATCCTATCAATATAATCCCAACTGACTGAATCATACGCTTTTTCAAAGTCGACTTTAAAAATCATCAATTTCTTCTTCTTCTGTTTGAACCACCGAACCATTTCATTCACAAGAAGAGGAACCTCAAGAATTTGCCTGGATTTGAGAAAAGCAGATTGCTCCAACCCAATAACATCATGCAAGACCGGAGCTAACCTATTAGCCAACAATTTAGCAATAATCTTAAACTGCAAGCCAATGAGACTAATAGGCCGATAATCGTTGATACGAATAGGATTGTCAATCTTAGGAATCAATGTAATAAAAGAAGAATTACAACCAATGGGAAACCTAGGATTGGCACTAAATTCCTGCACAAAAGCCACCACATCATCACCCAAAAACTCCCAAAAATGTCTGAGAAACCGGAAAGAGAATCCATCTGGACCCGACGCCCGGTCCAACCCACAATCCCTGACCTCCTCTTGATCTCTTCAGTAGAAAACACTGACTCAAGTGAATTATCCGTGTCCGGATCAAGAGATCCGAATCTATTACTCTTACGACACATCGAAACTCCCTTAAACGTTTGGAATTTAGAAGCGTAAAAATCATAAAAGGCTTTTTTTAACAAGAGGGGTATCCGCAACCCACTCCCCGTCAATAGATATGCCTCTAATAAGTCTCTGATGTCTTTGCTGCTTCAACATGGCATGAAAAAAAGCTGAGTTCTCGTCCCCCTCGATAGCCCATTTAAATCGAGCTTTTTGGGCTGAGTCAAGAGACCGAGACTTTTCCAAGGAAGCCAAATCACCGAGAATAGCCCTTCTCTCACAAGCCAAATCATCACACGAGCCACCATCATCGAAGATCTTATCAATATCAACCAATATAGATAAGAGACGGTAACTAGAAACTCTAGATTCCTCCTTATAACCCGCAATCCATTTTTTTATCCGGTCTTTCAAGAATTTAAGTTTATTTTTTAACACAACAAACTTACTCCAAGACCTGTCAACCACGAACTCCTTGAAAGCATCTTTCACCATATCATTAAATCCATTAAGCTCTAACCAAGAGTTGAAGAATTTAAAAGATGAAGGACCATAATCCACCAAAGACACATGCAAGAAAATAGGGCAATGATCAGACCACCTTCTATCAAGAACCGAAACTTGAAGATTTTCAAATCTATCATAAAAAGCTTCATCCACCAGAAACCTATCCAACTTACTTAACTTGGAACCAATAACATCAATTCTAGTAAACCGTTTCCCAATCATAGGCACGTCAATGAGACCCATATCATCAATAAAATCATTAAAATCAGAAGCCGAACTAGAACAAAAAACCGACCCCATTCTATCAGACACCTCCCTCACAACATTAAAGTCTCCAAAACACACGTAATTCCCCCATTCCTCCTTTTAAAATCCATAAGATAATGCCACAGGTCAAATTTCTCCCGGATACCTTGAGGAGCATAAATATTAACCATGTAATAAGGAAAACTAAAAGGAACCCAAACTCCTCCAACATAAACCACATTATCCGTACAATGAACACTGTCTTTCACAAACACATTACGGTCCCAAACAGAAAGAATACCCCCTGAAAGAGCCCGAGCACAACTACACGCAAAATCAAAACAAGGATTACCCCACATACTCCTAACTTTGAACAAGTCAATTTTTGTCATTCTAGTCTCCTGCAACCCTAGAAATGACACCCCATTCTGGATACACAACGAATGAACCCAACTTCTTTTAAAAGAAGTTCGAGTACCACAAATATTCAAAGATAGACAATTCATCTATCCACTTGTACCACACCAATGCCAGACAAGATTTTAGAAACCTTGTCCTTATGAGATTTCATATCATACCCAAGAACATCACCCATTTCAAAATATTATTTCAAGACATCCTCAATATCTTCTACACCCACCGGAACTTTTTTCTTTAGCAACTTAGAAGAACCATGTGAACCAGAGGATCTCGACGCTGAGGAATTAAGATTAAAATTCCCGTGTAACTTCTCACGCTGGAACCCTGGAGAATGAGATAAAGATTCCGAAGCCCCACCCCCACTACTCCATCCTGACGGATTTCCTCATCAGCCGGCGAAGAATCCCTCTCGGGCCTAGTCGGCGACTTCACCGATGCGTCACACATGATCGAATTGACCCGCTCATCATCTTCAAAGCATCTATCCACCTTCTTCTTCCTTCCACTAGTTTGAAAGAAACGACATTTTCTATCTACAAAACCAGCTCCTCGATCACCTAAATTCGGAGTGTTATCCACATTGAGAGAATCTACAACCTCCTCATTACCGTTACCCTCCTGACAATCTTTTTGTATATCACACATATCTTCACCAAAAAAATCCTTGGGTTCCTCTTCATCTGACAAGTCTGGAATATCCGAGCCCACCTCCCCCTCTTCCAATATATCTGGTTCCCAATTAGAAATTTCACGAAATGCCAAATCATACTCAATACCTTGGGCAACCACTTTAACTGTCTCATGAATCAAAGCCGGCTTAGAAGTCTTAATACACGCCCTCTTGATTGCCAATGGAGTATCCCCATCATCATCTAGAAAACATACATCACCCCACATGCTAGCCACCTTAGAAATGGCATCTTCATTCCATGCACAACAAGGCAACCCAATCATTTCAATCCACACAGCTCTTTCCTTAACAAAAAACCCATTTACAACAGGCGTAAACAAAGAAAAATAGGCCTTAATACCATTACATTTCTTGAACCTGGCGCAGACTTCTTCAGACAAAAATGTCAAATATACCCAATCACTAGCAACATACTTGATTTGAAGATCATCAAAGCCCTCTTCTTTCAATAAAACAAACAAATTTTGAATCAATCTAATATCCCTGAGTTTCGCAAACACCGAAGCCTGTAAGGACAGATTATTGCATATTTCCTTCCCAGACAAAGTACAAACAGTAGATTTTGGCTCTTTCAGCCCATGCATGCCCTTGCCCCCCTTAACCACAGTCGCATAGGATTCAAGCCCCTGCCCATTAATTTTTGACACCACCTGATCACCATGTACATGTGAATCAGACTGCCTCTTACGATCAGGTTCTCGCTAAAAACGAGCTACTGAAGCAAACAGGTGATATGAACCCAACCAAATTTCTCTAATCTTTCTTTCCAACAATTTCTCATCTGACACTTTAATAAAACGAACAAAGGCAAAACGTTTACCTAATTTGGATAGCTTCTTAGCAATGTAAACATCAACCACAGTCCCCACCTTCGCACATGCATCCCATAATTCCTTCACTCCGAGATGAACAGGGAAATTCGTCACATAAAACGGGGAAGAAACCTTTTCAATCAATTTCAGATTACCGACCTGAGTCCGAGATCGACTCGCAGGCCCATTCCCAACCATCGAACTCGCAAAAAGAAATCCCAGAAGAAGGAACTCCGGCGTTTGATCCCGCCGGAGAATGAAGAAGACGCCGACAAAAGAGTCCCTAAAGGTTTGGAATTGCGATTGTGAACTTGAGTTGATTGTAATCAATATCAATATTGATATTATTTTTAAAAGCTTAATTTAATTTGTTTGTTCTCTGTAATTTTTTTTTCTCCTTTTCAATTAAAGCAAAAAAAAAATAATAAATAATACTAAAACCTGAAGTTTAAATTTAATAATTTTAAACTAAAAGTCTGATTTTTTTTATATCTTGCAAATAAAATTTCACTTACTTTAGATAATATTATTGACAACATGATCAAATAAATAAAAAAATAATAATAATATAAAATAACTAAATTTATCAGACAAATTTATTTTGTCCCATCAATTACATTGGACACTCTCGTAGATTTCAATCATAAATTCATCACTTGTACATGGACTTGCACCAAAAACTTCTAGTTATGATTTCTTATGAACTTTTTTGTGATGGTTAAAAATTGAAAATTTTACTAAAACCTGAAGTTTAAATTTAATAATTTTAAACTAAAAGTCTGATTTTTTAATATCTTGCTAATAAAATTTCACTTACTTTAGATAATATTATTGACAACATGATCAAATAACTAAAAAAATAAAAAAATAAAAAAATAAAAAAAAAATAACTAAATTTATCAGACAATTTTATTTTGTCGCATCAATTACATTGGACACTCGTAGATTTCAATCATAAATTCATCACTTGTACATGGACTTGCACCAAAAACTTCTAGTTATGATTTCTTATGACTTTTTTGTGATGGTTAAAAATTGAAAATTTTAGGTTAGGTTTTTAGTGACACATCATGTCATTACTTAGTCACTATTTACCTAAACTCTGGCACTTTTACATCGTTTTTGTTTCATAATCAACATGTAATTCCAAATTAATAAAGATATAACAAACTCAATCTGAGAACCAATATGATGAAACCAATACTATAAAAACCGATGTATAAGTTATAATGAAAAGGACTCGAATATATATTATCAAAGTTATCAAAGTTGCATTAACAAAATATATATTATCAAAGGTATATAATGGCTCCAAATATTGTTTAATAACTTCTTGTGTCACTGGTTCAACTGCTTCATGTAATTGTTGATGAACTTACTCAATAAGATCCTCCAATACTACATATTCAACTACTAAAAAATACGGATCTCTAAATGCATGAATGAATAATTAGCATATATAACAATTAGAATTAAATACAAGAAATAGCAACTTACTTTCATTTTTGTAAGATAACCTAAATTGAAAGTATAATGTTATAGTTGGTAGATTTTCTAAAGTACTACAAAAATGAAAATAGAAATTCGTAATCGAAAGTAATAAAAGTAGGAAGTTGTCATAAATACTTATAATGCAATGGATAAATAAGTAGAACCTTTGCAATACACATAAACTTTCAGCGAATAGAAGTCAAGAACCCTAGTGGCTGCATCTTATGAACTTTCAGATGCCAGTAGGATTCACTAACAGTTTAGTGCTTGGATATGTACCTATGAAACTTTGACTAAAATTGACAAGGGGGGGGGGGCAATCTTGGCTATAAGCAAGCAAGCATCAAATAGGGTCTCTATATGCATGTACACGACGATAAACATGGTTGTTGTATCTATGTTCATGGTCTAAGATCTGAGGATCCGGGGAAGTACATCTATCATTATCAACTTTATTTAGAGTTTTATGACCATGTACCCAAATGACTATTAGTCATTCTTGTTAGATGTATATTCTTGGAATGACATTAGGGAGCATGACTTAGAAATCTGGAATGTATTTATTGCATTTCATAAGGAGGTGAAGCCTCTATCTATGTACAAACAAAAATACCAAATTAGGAAATTATGAAAAGAAACTTTAGGAATAAATAAAACCATATTTTATATACATTCTAACACTCCCCCTCAAACTGGAGCATATATGTTAATCATGCCCAACTTGTTAAAAAAAAATAGAGATTCGAGAATCGGGTAACGCTTTCATGAAGACATCCGCTAGCTGACTTCCTGTTCGAATGTGTGGAGTTATAACACTTTCATGGCAGTCTACTTCGATGTGTTAAGTTCTTTCATGGAAGACAGGATTGTTTGCATTGTGAATAGCTGCCTCATTGTTACACCATAACTTCATCGGTTTAGATTGAGTACACCAAATCTCACCTAGAAGGTTACCCAACCATATCAGCTCACAAGCGGTTTGGATCATAGCCTTGTATTCAAATTATGTGCTTGACCAGGGAACAACATTTTGTTTCTTACTTTCCATGAAACCATATTTCCTCCAATGAATACGTAATAGCAGTAGTATAATACTTGTAGAGTCCCTATTATAGCCGAAATCTTTGAATCATTTAATGACGTGATGACCATGATTTTGGTATAACATGCCACAACCAGCAGAAACCTTTAGGTACTTCAAAATATAAATAATCGTGTTCCAATGGAAAATCCTTGGCGATGACATAATTTGGCTTACAACACTCACTGGGAAAGAAATGTATAGCCGTGTGATCGTTAGATAATTTAGCTTTCCTATAATTTATATGTACTTCTCTAGATTCTCAAGTAGATTTTCATCTATTGATTTCAAATTCACATTTGGAATTGGCCTCACATTGTTTTATCTCAATCATACCTGAATCATTCGAAATATTCTTGAAATATTTTTGTTGATTTAAAAAAATCCTTTATGAGTGCGAGAGACCTCATTCACTAAAAATACTTCAAAGTATGTTTAGAATTCAGATCCATGAAACACTTTCAAATTCTTAATCCCAGTATCATCGATCCCAATAATCACTATATAACCAACATATAAAACCAATAAAATGCAAGTAGAGATAGATGAACAAAGAAAAAAAGAATGATCATATGTGCTTCTTTGTAACCCAAACTTATTCACCGATGTACTAGATGGCTCAATCTAAGCACACATGGATTGTTTTAAGACATACAAATATTTTCTTAGTCTATAAACTTTACCACACACCCCTGAGAATCAAACTTAGGAGGTTTCTCCATGTAAACCTCCTCGTGCAAATCACCACTAATAAATTCTATTTGACATCAACTTAATGAAGTGTCCAATCGTAAGTAGCATCTAGAGAACTTAATAGACGAACAAAGGATAGTTTAGCTATAGCTGAAAATATCTTAGAATAATTCACTCCTAAGCATAACCTTTGGCAACTAATCTTCCATTTGAACAAGCCACTGATCCATCCGGATTAACTATTACAGTAAACATCCATTTGCAACAAATTGCCTTTTAATAACAGGTAACTCGACCAAACTCTGCATGCCATTGTGATCAACGACATTCATTTTTTCAATCATATTTTCATGAAATTCAAGATAGGCCAAAGCTTCACTAATATTTTTTTAGGATCGATATAGAATCTAATGTTGCAACCAATGAACTTTAAGATGTTTAGAGCTTATCAGAATAAACAAATGAAGAAATAGGTACGTATATGAACATTGACATTTCTAAAGAGCTATAGGAATATCAAGATCCAGAAAATTTGTAGGGGAAGTTGGCTTCTCATTATTTGTTGTATTATAGGTATCATATGTCGATCCAACAGATGCATGTGGTACCAAATCGGGCCTTGATGTAGGTCATTTTTGCCTACTATATACAAGAATCGCTATGATCTTGTACATTCTAGTGATGGCTCATAGTTATATGGTATAGGGAACTTTGTATTCGAGTCACAAACATGCATGATATATACCAATATATCATTATTTCCTTCTTGATCATGAGAAGTGGTCACCATAAGGAAAAAAAATACTTTCTCCATAAAGGGTCATTACGTGAAACAATATAACGGTTGGGTGTAGGACAAAAACACTTATAAACTTTCTGGATGAGAGAATATCGAAGAAAAAACATAATTGAGGGATTTAGGATCTAGTTTGCTTATCTGGGATTTAGAATACCAAAAAAATGACAATAACCGAACCTCTTAAGTTTATCAGGGAACATATGTTATTTGGAAACATAAATGGAAATGGAGTCTCACCACCAAAAAATGCAGATGACATATGATTAATGAGAAAACCGGAAGTAGAGACTATGTTAGACAAAAATTGTTACGGAGCGGTTATTTGAAATATTGTTGTTTGAGCTACTTCAAGGAAGTGGTGATTTTTCATTTAGCAACTCCATTTTAGGCAAGAGTATCATCATAAGAAGATTCAGGAGGAATATCTTATTGAAGCATGTTTGGCCGATATGTTTCAGATGTATATTCTTTTGCATTATCATTATGAAAAGTTTTCACAAATACATCAAATTATGTTTTAATCTCAACAATAAATTAACATATATTGGTGAATACCATTTAAAGATTTTTCATCAAATACAACCAAGTAACATGAGAATAATCATCCACATAATTCATAAAGTACTAGAACCTGTTTTTAGAAGTAATAGGACATGAACTTTGATATATATATATATATATATATATATATATATATATATATATATATATATATATATAATACAAATCAAATGATTTGCTTTGTTGCAAGACTTTGAATGAAACAATAGTCAAGAAAAGCATTGAAAGTACAATTCAATGCACCAAATATTCTTGTCATCTACCAATAATTTATTTGTTGAAAGACTTTAAAAGACATAATAGTTAAGAAAAAAAGTTGACAATACAATCCAATGCACAGTTAATTTATTGTTTGATCAAAATTAAATGAAAAATTAGGTAGGGTTAACATAAAAGATAATGAAACAAATAAGGAGAGATCAACAGTACCAGATCCTGGAACTTGAGAAGTATACCTATCGATACCGATGACATGGGATGTAGACATATGAGTACGTAAGTTAGAGAAGACACTAGAATTGTTCGTCATGTGGTCTGAAGCACTAGAATCAATAACCCATCTTGAGGCAGAAT